TGCATTAAGTACTTAAAAGTAGTTCTATTTTTTCCCTTCTAACCGTGATCGTTTGTTGATCGGCAACTCCTTTATCTAACAAACAAACAAACGACTGTATGAGCTCGAAAGTTCGAGTTCATTGGAATTTTCTCAACTGTTACACACGTAATCAAGGCTGTTTAAAAAAAATGGTTAGATTCCCAAATGATTTTTGTTCTTTAATATAATGTAAAATTATAATTGTCAAATATGGTAATCTCATTTGATTGATATATGAAGATATGTTGAATAAAGATAATCGATATATATTTGAGATAATATGAAAAGAGCCATAAAAGATGACACTGCCAAAGCCATTCTAAAATAATATAAGGGCAAATGTAAAAAAAAAAACATTCTAAAATAATATAAGATCAAATGTTAAAAACACAAAACATTATTGTTGTCATTTCTCTAGAGTAAAGCAGCATTGGGCTATCTGCTATGTCCACCGCGGGAGAATCAAACCCCGGATTTTAGCACTTTAAGTCCGTAGACTTACTGCTGTCAAATAAAAAAAACATTATAAAGTAACAATAATAAGCTTTGTGTTTATATTGGTCAAATTAAGTTATATTTATTAAATGTTAGGAAAAAAAGCTACAAAAGCATATAAATTATATTCTAACAATGTTCACAGAAAGGTACTGTACATAAAAAGACACAGGGTACTAGTGATAACATATCTGTTTAGTTTCAAATATATATTTTTAATTTATGAAAATAAATAATTGTTCGGCTAAATAATTAAATGCCTTTTACAAGGATTAGAAAACATTTATCTTAAAGACACTGAAGTGTTTGATATTATAATTTCAAGTTCTGATTAAGTTTTAATCGCTACCTACAATAGGAACTTATTTCAAAAGTACTGATTTATCGTCACCGTTCACCCCTCCACTCATATACAAAGCTCAAAATTCAATAGCCCTAAACATTTATCTAATTTTCAAAGAGTGTTAAACATTCTATTCAAAATAAGTTCTGTATTACTGTCGAAAGTTAAAACCAGAACTTTAGTGTTTTTTTATAATTGATACTTGAAACTGTCGGTACTTAGTGAAACTCCATAATTACAGAACTGAAGAAAAACAAGACAATTTTCCTCAATTCTGTTCTGTAATTTAGTGTTTTTATTATATTTCTGATGAACTTGAAACAATATTATGTCCATTTTATTTTAAGAGTTTTACTCTATGATATAAGGCAATACATTTCGTCTTAAAAATTTTAGAACTTTTAACTAATTTTAAATTCGAAAAAAATATGTTTTTATTTATTTAAGAACTAGTGCAAGTACCAGGCTTCGCTCGGGTTACAAAGTTGATAGTGTGTGTATTCTGCATTCATTTTAGCATGAAGGTATAACCTATATACTTTTGTTGCTAAACAACATGACATAAAAGCTATTGTTGGAACGCATTGTTACCAAAACGCACTGGCTTTTCTATATATTAAAAGTTGTTATATAAGGAACTACTTCTTTTCTATGTGGTTTTTCGCTAGCCGTCTCATTAAAAAGACGCGCATGCACATGGATAAGATAAGTAAAACCCAGGTGCACACCCTCAGAGTCCACTTAATATGAGTGCAAACATTTAAGGTTTCTAGATTCTTTCCTCTTGGAGCTATGGCAGTCACGTTTCTTTTCTATGTGGTTGCATAAGAAAGATGCACACACGCATGCACTCACGCACGTAGATAAGTAATAATACCCAGGTGCACACCCCCTATTGTTCATTTAGTATGGGTGCAAAATTACAGGTATCTAGGTTTTCGGTCCTGGTGCTATGGCAGTCAGATATTCTTTCCTATGTGGGTTTTCGCTAGCTTGCCTAAAAAAAAGATGTGCTCGAGCACGCGCGCACGTACGTGGATAAGTAAATAATACCCAGGTGCACATCTACAGGATCCACTTTGTATGTGTGCAAAATTTCAGGTTTCTAGGTTCTTTCTTTTTGCAGCTATGGCGGTCACAGACACACAGACAAACAGACACTAAGGGTGTTAAAATACGTTTTTCTTAGTTACACGTAGTTATCACCTAAATGATAATATTAAGTATAAAGAAGATAATATTAAGTATAAAGAAATATGCTATATTAGGTAAATTGCTGTCATTCAATTACTATCTGTTTTAATTATCAAATAAATCAGGTCAATATTTATCTTCTGGTTAAACAACAAAACATTGTATGATTTGATAACTAATAGTAAACATCTACATCTATCTGTTTCACTCATTGATAACTAGCATTTATTTATATTTAGTCTTTCTATTCACAAGTGACAAGAGTTTTATTTATTTGATTCACTAGTTAAATAACGTACCTTTATTTTTGTTTAATCTGTGTAAAATATTTAGTAACGATATATATTTGCTCTAGTTGTTACGTACTGATATCTGAACTTGTCTATTCTATTTGCTACTTATACGAAAGTTCTAGAGTCTATTTCTCCGTATCTTCCTGTTATATAAATATATGGATATAGATATATAGTCTGTTCTCTATAAAGATAGGGAAGTAAGTGAAATATTGCTCATAAAAAGGAGCAAAAAGTGAAGACTTTCAGCAAAGTTTGCAGAATGAAGAATCAGTAAATCATTCTCAACTATCACATGACATTTACCTGCTGTACCTCATTTTCGTGTGGAGAACGACTTCTTTATTGAAGTTTAAGGTTTAGGTCGTTAGGTGGCTTCAAGTCTTTGAAAGAGATTTTATGTGTCTACTGTGGGTCATTTGTTTGAAATAAGGTTCTAACTTGTAACATATGCTTAGACCATAACAAGAGTAAAGGATATCTAAAAAAATTAAAAGGAACAATATGTTTTTAGGAACACAAAATAAATAAAAAATAACAATATACCTATATCTGAACAATTTATTTATCAAACATAGGAAATGAAGAAAGATAGATAAAGCTTAAGAGAATTAATAATTTTATATGTTCTGTTTCAATACATATAAAACCAAAGAAATAATATTGAAGTTAATAAAAATATAATTAATGGCAAAAAGATAAAAAAGTTAAATATTAGTTGACGATTTGAATTTATTATGCAGTCGACGAAGTTAAAGAAAGTAAAAAAAGAATGTATGAGAGAGAGAGAGAGTGAAAGAGAGAAAAAGATGAGTATCAAAGACCCTAAATATAAATCATGAAGTAAAAATAAATAACAAGGAACAAAAATGTAAATTATGTATTAACAATAAAATGCTCAGATCACATAAGAAAAAATAAGTTTGTAACAAAGCAAGATAAAAAACGGAGAAGTGGATTGCCAAAAAGGGTAAAATCAAAAAGGTTTTCAAGAGATGTAAGAAAAACAATTATACGGCGATGAACACAGAAAATGTTAAGATATGATTGCGTGAAGCGGAGCGTAACTGAGCAAATAAAGAAAAATCTGATAAAAAAGGAGGAAAAGATAAAAGGGGAGAAATATTAGAGATAACAGTCAACATTAATCAATATCATATACTTGAGTTTTAATAAAATATGATTTATCGGATTGATACAAAATTTTTAGATAGACGTATAGGTTTATATATTGAAATATATATTGATAATTTTGCCAGTTTATGTTTCATTTCTGATTAAGAAATATACAAAAGCTATAAACAGAAGATATTTAGTTTGAAATAGCAAAAAATTGTCGAAACGTCAAGCGTTATCCAAATATAAGATTATTGTCGAAACGTCAAGCGTTATCCAAATATAAGATTATTTTTAATGTTTTGCACATTATCATAATAGTACCACGGCATTAAGGATTGACAAATGTCAGTGCTCGCTACGTGAGCGTGCTGCGTCTCAATAAATTTTCATCTGAGAAAAGAACAATCACATATCTAATATTTTACTGTAACGCTTCCCTTATACGAAATAACTCATTTTAGTGACTCTAATAAAGTAATTCGGCTTCTGCAAAGGAAGTAAAGGAAATTAATGAAACCCACAAATAAAGCTAAGGAAGTGAACTATAGCTCAATAAAAGATCATAACTGTCGAGCTCTGATTTACCCCCCACTCCTTCCGGATAGATCGCTTTAATTTGTTTACTTTCTTTAAAGGCTAAGAAATATTTTCAAGAACTCAAATTTCCCGCCAAAGTAAATATCATAACACGTAGCTCATCTGTGTAAGTTAGACTGCATCATGATAAAAAGAATGGACTGAAACAACAACAACAACAACAATATAAATCTAAAATTACATGCCAAAATTTCTTGGAAAACAACGAATCCCGTGTTCTAAGTTTTCGTCATTACGAAAATTATAAATATTTTCCACAGACTTCTTATCATTACAAATACCTTTGGTAAAAAATTCATCTACAGGCGATTCTTTCAAGCAGATTTTGTTACAAGTAATCCTGTTAGTGTTCAAAATGAAGCCGTGTATGTACACCCAAATACGTACAAAATTGTAGTAGGCCAAACTCAAAGAGTTTTAATACTACTCTTTATCTTCATAAATACGAAAACAGGTATGTCTATTCTAATGAACCAGAGAGTTAATTAATTATTATTTTTTTGCCCATAGACAATTATGATATATCATGGTATAGAATAGAACACAGGTACAATGAAATTATTTGGTTACAAATCTGATGAAAGTATTGAAATACTAAATATTTATATTCGAAATTAGTAAAATATCTTTTAGAAATTAAAAAATAACATTAAGAACAAACTAATGAAAATTAGAAGCATCAAAAGTATCAACAGTACCTAATTAACAAAAATATTAATCATAATTTCTAAAGATAACCTTATGGAATACTTTTACATATAGAGAAGACACCTTGTCTGTATAATGACTAATAAGTGTGATGAAATATAACCATAAAACTAGTAATTGTTTCAACCATATGATTCTCAACTGGCTGTAAGCAATCTTTATATCGAAATTATAGAAGTATAACCTAACATTAAACACAAATTACGTTATCCAAAAAAAATCATAATTACCTTTAGTTGACAAAAATCCAATAAAAGCTATTATCCATAAAAACGAAGTAATTAACATTGTTTAAAATTGCGCCAATATTACTACCAATTCGGAGACGATTTCATAAATGCTCATAAATACATTGAGTTCGGGGTTGAGTGGGTTTAAAATTGTCGAAAGTTGTTAACCCTCAAATGCTTTGCTACGGAACAGAATCTCAGTACATGGAAAGCAGGGAGACGAGAGAGACTGTTTCATTCCATGGCCTCACTCAATCTAAACGTCGTAGCGAGGGTGCACGAGCCTGGTGCCTAACCCTCAAGTACAGACTTCAACTGAATTCAAGCTCAACATATATTGCTAGCAGTGACTGTTACGTGCGGCAGAACTCGTTGATTTAATACCACGTGAGTGCATCTAGAGAATATGAAGACAGTTCATGACACTATAAACATTCTTTTGTGAAACAAACAAATACATTTGCTCTTAGTTTCAGGTTGCTATTAAAGATTTATACGTCACAACACACGAGTGTTAATATGAAACTTAAAATAAAATCCCATCTGAAACACCGTGAAAAAAAACAACAACAACGAATAAAACATTTGAAGAGGTTCAAAATGGAATCTTTTTTGTTTGACCTTTAAGAAACAGCTCTACTAAAATATTAGAAATACTGAGAAAATATTTAAAAAAATGTGATATGTAAACTAGTTTGTTGATGATGACTGAATCAGTTTAACAGTGATAATCAATGTGGTGTGTAAACTAGTTTGTTGATGATGACTGAATC